CAGCGTCGTGTGGGGTCTGGACCCCCCGAAGGTTGTCCTCTATGAAGGTGATCGGGTCTTCGCGTATTTTCTTCAGACCTCTATCATCGATCTCGAGTAGTCGTGCATACTTTTTGTGACCCGAGCTACTTTCTCCTCCGGCGGTGATCCCTTCTGAAATTATGGCGATGACACCGGCTGGGGGAGCCCGAGGTGGCGGTCTGTTTCCTGGACACAGTTCTTGTTCTGCTGGCTTCTTGTCTTTGTTGATGAACCCACCGAGGTACCTGCACCTGATCAGGTCCTCAATGTGGTTGCGTAGGTCATAGTAGTTGTCCATGTCATGGTTGTGGTCTCTATGGAACTCACAATATTTGTCACAATTCCTTTTGTTGCCTTGGGTCTTCATCTTCTCGGGCCACCGGACGTAACTACGGTTGCTGATCTCCATCAAAACTTCAGACCGCAGTGTATTCAGCGGCATGAGTGGAGGAGTCCTTGGTCTACGGTCGGACTAGCAATCCTGTCTCTTGTGATCCTTGCCCGCCCTCTCTGTCCTGTGGTCCTCGGTATCCCTTCTCTTCTTGTTGGGCCTCTGTTCCTCATCTTTTAGATGTTCCTTTGATTCCTCCGCGTTGATATAGTTCTGGGCATGACTCATCAGTGCAGCTATGGTTTGAGGAGGGTTGTTAGAGATGCTGAAGTTGAACGGAGAAGGCAGCAGACCATGTTGATTGTCTATGACGGCTACTGATTAGTTCAGGTTCTGGACTTGTAGTGCTTCGGTGTTGAATCTGGCCAAGTAATCTCTGAGTGATTCTCCCTTCCTTTGYCGCACCTGCATGACACTGGCCAAAGTTTTCTAGTGCTTTTGGCTGGCTGTGAATTGTGCCAAAAATTGGTTCTCCAGCTGCTCCCATGATGCTATAGAGTGTAGGGGAAGGAACGAATACCATGTCAAGGCTAGACCTTTGAGGGTTGCTATGAAAGCCTTGAACATCTGGCCTTTGGACGAACCGTGTAGCATCATCTGGGCTTTAAATGCTTCGATGTGGTCACTAGGGTCGGTATTCCCATCGTACTTCTCGAATTGTGGTGCCTGCCACCCTGCAAGGGAGAGCTTGTCCATGATCTCTTGGATGAAGGGTGGCTCCTTGGGAGGTTGACCACTCGGTTGCATGGGCTAGATTATAGGTGGCGCTATGATCCTCTGGGCTTGGCTGCTCTCCAACACAGTCAAGCGTTGCCACGTAGATTGGTGGGTTTTGCTGTGGTTGTCACACTCGAGGGACCGGGTGGAGGAAACCGATCTTCTTATGGTGTCTCACTTTTCTTGATCAATTTGCGTCTTGTCCTTGTCCGACTGGTGTGTTTTCGGGTCCTCGGGGCAAGGGTTAGCCTTCATACGTGTCGGGGCAAGAGGGGGGACAACTTGAGTGGGCAACGCCACAGATCCCATCGACTGCATCATTGCCAAGATCTTGTCGACCTTTTCTTGTTTTGCTTGGAACTGGGCAGGGCCGACTATGGCTCGCTGCTGAGGTCATTGGGTTTCATGGCGTGGAGGACTATGATGAAAATGGGATTCCCGAGATGGGGATCGACCTGTTGAACACTTAAAATTATTTCTTAACATCTTGATCGACTCTTGATTGTGCGGTAAAGAAAAGGGTTTGGGAAGGGTTTTTGTGTGCTTCCCACATACGACACCAATATGATGTTGCATGATCCTATGTGGTGCAAGAACCGAGGTCATTGTTAGATAATTCTTGCTAGCTGGGTGGAGCCGAGGTGGAAGGATGAGGCCGCACAATGAGATCTGAAACAAATAACGAAGTCAAAGGCCCGAGGAGTTATCCCCGGGTAGGCACTCCGATGTTCAAGTTAGCAGAAAACAGGTGGGTGGTCGAGCCGAGTAATTAGAGCGGTGTTGGTCCGAGCAAAGTAATGGTATGGGAGTTAAGAGTTGGATCCTTTTGTTAGATAGTGTATGCCCTTAGCTCCAATCAGATTGATGTACATTTTGGCATTTATCGTAAATGAATAAAGTATATAATTGATTCGTGTTATCTATGGTGTGTTTCTATGTAAGACCCTTAAACTGGACACTTAAGAAACTTTTGTTAGTTTAGAATCTTCACAGCCGTTGGATAGACCTRGGGAGGTTTATCCTGCCAAGGCTGACACTAATGTGCTGCCAAGTTGGTTGGGGTGGCTTACCTCAACTACTAGAGTGAGACCTGAAACACATGTAATATGGGTTTGCTTGAAACCCTGAACTGGACCTTGGAGACAGATAGGCAAAACTAGAAAGTTACACTTAACCCCTAGACTCGATTATGGTAATGCACTAGGTGTTGGATTGGGATGTCTTTGATATTCTAATCAATGAGATCCTTAGTGGGGGTCAAAACCTGGGTATGCTGAGGTAGTTTGAGAATTCACCTGAGTGGGTGATCATAGTAACAGAATCAGCCCCTTTGTCGCACAAAGTGAATGATCGGGGAATGCACTCACTTTGATGGAAACCTAAATTACCGACAGTTGATTTCAAACTTTTTGAGATTTGTTTTGTAAAATATATTTATATAGAGATATACATATATATTATGGTTTCATAAAATGTTTGTAAAAAGGTTTTAATTCCCGGGATTCATGTGAGTAGAGAGTGCAACACTGCACCTTGCAGCCGAGGGAAATGTCCTCTCTTGTCGGGCAGTGTTTGATCATTATGGGTTGAGAGGTTAAGTGTAAGGCCTTTTAAGGCTTTTACCTGATGGGCTAATCTCACTTCAGTCCATAGTCCTTGGGCCTTCATAAGGTGGTTGGACCTAAAGACCATTTAGTGTAAATGTTGGGCCCGTTAAGAGCTCATACTGATGGGCTTAGGGGTTCACTGTCTTAAGCGGTGAATTCGGCCAGGCCTTGTAACAGAGGCTAGGCTGAACCCATATGGCTATTGTGGAGATCAATGTTAGGGTCCCATGCAATACAAAGAGAGCCAAGCTAGCCAACAATTAAAAGGAAGTGAGCCTAAAAGCTTAATGGGCCTAATGCCCAATTCAAACTGGGTTTAATGAGATTAATTAGAAGGGGCGAATTTGGGTTTATATCTGGATAGGGATCAGTAAGAGGATAAGATAAGTCTTATCCACTTAGGAGCCCGGATCGAAATAAAGATTTGGATCAAAAAACCCTTTCCTAATTTGATTAGGAAGCTGATCTTGAAAGGATATGAATTAAGGGGGCGAATTCTACAAAGAGAATTCTTTTCTGCAATCTGCTTTCTCCCTTTGCTCTTGGTGCCCTACCTTGTTTGATCTCCAGTTCTTGGAGTGATCAAGATTGGATTTTGATATTGTTTCTTGTTAGAAGAAACAATCTTGAAGCTGTGCTCACATCCCTGCGTGATTCTTGCTGAATAATTTGGGTTCTTATTGAATAATCTCTTTGCTGATCTTACCTCACCCTAAGCTGTGTCATTTTCTGTGGAGGAAGGATTTGATGAACTCTTTGGGCGTGAACACCTATGTTGGTAACTTCTGTTGATTCCGTATCAGGTATATCCCTCCCTTAATCTTGGTTATAGATTTGGTCTAGTTTGTTTTAAGAACGAACCTTGAAAAATACAGTTTTTCTAAAACAGGGAATAGGATTCCAAGAAGGGAGAAAAAATTTTTGAAATTTTTTTTTGCCACCCTGCATGGTTCGGCCATCCATATGATGGATCTCCCTTCTCTTCACCTTTACCTTGAGCGATAGATGTCTTTTATGGCCGGAGATTCGTGTCCTGGTCAGGTGAGGGTTTTGGGGTTGTCGAGATGAGGTTAATCGTTGAGGTCTTCGAGATAAGCCTAATCCCCAGTGGAGTTGCCCCCATCCATTCTCCTGTCTTGGTCATGCTTATCCTCATGACGTGGTGTCGTCGTGGCTGAAAGGATAAGGTGGAGCCACAGAGATGATGTGGTGCTGATGTAGCCGCAGAGCCGAACTGGGCCACGGAGGTTACGTGGCACTAATGTGGTGGAGGAAATAGAGCGATCGCGTGGCATCTAGATCCTACTAAAGGCATGCACATAAATCAATGCCTACTTTTACAATTCTCTATGCATACCGATGTTGCACAATCCGGCTGTTCCCTGTTGGAGATGATTTGGCTCCCAGTAGATGACGAACTTGGTTGATCTGCAAAAAGAGAATCAGAGAACCCGGGGTTGCTTACCCAGCGAGGTCGCTCCGATGCTTAAGTTAGTACTTGGTTGTTAGCTGATAATAGCTTAAAATGCAAGAGAGCTAGAGAGTGGAGATTATACGTACCTTTCACCCCCGGGGGGTGGAGCCTTTATATAGTGGTGTCCTCACGGGTTTCGCAAAGTGGTTTCGGGATCCTCGTCACGATGAGGTCCGTTTCCGCGTTAATTGGGGATAACATTGCCAGCTGATAAGGTTCTTCACTTTCGCCCGAATCGGACGGGAAAGATAATGCTAGCTATTACGTGGCATGATCCCGTGAGGTGTAGAATCTGGTGACAAGATCTTCAGGATTGCCATGCAATGGTTGATCAGTATTACCCGAGCTAGTGCCCTTTGGATCCGACCTAATATGAGTGCCGAAGTTCCTTGAGACCGAGATGGTCCTAATGCGAACTTACACCAAGATGAACTCGTCCTGGGATGGACTTGCCCCGAAGTAGTTTAGTTATCCGTAACGGCTATATAGCAGCGTGCACGGATCCAAGCACCGCAGTCCCTTTGCTTGAAGGACTTCTTTCCAAAGGTAAGACAGACAAATCATGGGGCTCACAGAAATAGACAAATCATGGGGCTCACAGAAATCTATGTATCACCTAATCTGAGGCAAATTTGGTATACATCCAACCCAAATCAAGTAGAGAGTTTCCCCACACCACCCATTTCTGCCACATTGGAGCATCATTGATGCCTTCAATCTAGCAATAGTCCATACAACACATACCAACAACTTATTATTGAATATTTACCCAAATAATAACGAACTTTGATACTTTTATCTCATAAGTACATATGTTGCAAGGTCTTTCAATTGTTTAAAAATATTTTGACCATAAAGAAAGATTCCCTGCTGCTGGTTTTACACCCTTTACAGGAAAACAAATTCCCGAGTCTTAAGAAAAACTCATTAAACTAAAGGATGCACAGCGAACCATTCCTTATACAATATAAAATTCATATAGATGCAAGCTATGCGCTGTACGCGTCTGTCTCTTTAGATATTGCTATCTTTGCATCTATAGTATCAACTTTTGAGTTGGCACCAAAATAAGTTTATCCTCGACATTAATCGAGGCTAATACTTTGTAAACATACAGGCATATATTACTTCTGTCATTAGTTGTGTGACAGGCAGAATGAAACACCAATTTTTTTAATCTTCCCTCCAGCCAAACCCAGGCTTTTCTCAAGTCTCAATTCTCGAATGTCAACCCTGCAACTTCTTCCTGGTCTGTCTCTTTACATAGACAAAGGCAACTCCTGATAAATTCAGCACAACATAACATCTCTTTCTCTCTGAGACAAACAGAAACATTCACATTTTCTTTGTCTCATCCTCTCCAAGATGGGCGAAGACAACAAACCCTTCTATCGCCTGCCGTTTCTTCTCCTCTCAATCTTCCATCTCGTCTCTGTCGTCATCTCTGATGATGCCTTTGTCATGAACAAGCTTGCCGCCTCTCTCAAGCCGACTCCATCCGGCTGGTCAGGCTCCGACCCTTGTAAATGGACCGGCGTTAATTGTGACTCCAACCATCGAATCACAGCCATCAACCTTGCATCCAGATCTCTCTCCGGAACTCTTCCTTCAGATCTCAATCAACTCAGCCAACTCCAAATCCTCTCCCTCCAAAACAACATAATCTCAGGGCCCTTGCCTTCTCTTGCCAACCTCACCAACCTTGAAGAAGCCTTTCTAGATAGGAACAACTTCACCTCCGTCCCACTTTCATTTTTTGTCGGACTCGAAAGCTTGCAAGTTCTCAGTCTCGGTGAGAACTATAATCTCGCGCCATGGTCAATACCTCTAGATCTCGTTCAATCCTCGAGTTTGGTCACCTTTTACGCAAGCAAGGCCAATGTAGTGGGTATGATTCCGGACATTTTTCGTTCGTTTCCGAATTTGCAGTCTCTCAGGCTTTCTTACAACAGATTAACGGGTCCTCTTCCGCCCTCTTTCAACGGCTCTAATATTCAGAACCTTTGGCTGAACAATCAGGATTATGGGTTGTCAGGAACTATTGAAGTGCTCGGAACAATGGCTCAGCTTACCCAGGTCTGGCTCCAGGGAAACAAGTTATCGGGTCTGATCCCAGATCTTTCAGCCTGTACTTCGCTCTTTGATCTTCAGCTCCGTGACAATCAATTCACCGGAGTAGTACCCACTACGTTAATGTCCCTTCCCAGCTTGCTTAATGTGTCATTGTCGAATAACAAGCTGATGGGTTCATTCCCAGAATTCAACTCCAATGTGCAGGCCATAATTGGAGGGATCAATAACTTCTGCAATTTGAAGCCCGGTTCATGTGATTCTCAGGTGACAGCACTGATCGCCGTCGCCGGTGGCTTTGGTTACCCCATGACCTTGGCGGATGCTTGGGATGGTAATGATCCATGCCATGGTTGGCGCTTTATTACTTGCGATACAAAGAACAAAAATGTTACTGTAATCAACCTTGCAAAACAGCATTTATCTGGGAAGATCTCACCTGCCATTGCAAACCTTACTTCATTGAGGGATTTGTTCCTGAATGACAATAATCTCACTGGCCCAATACCAGACGCATTGACAACTTTGCCTCAGCTGCGGGTCCTTGATCTCTCCAACAACAATCTCACTGGAAAAATACCAGCTTTTCCAGAAAGAGTGACAGTGAGCATTTCAGGGAATGCCCTGCTTGGACATAATTCAATCTCAAGTGAAGAGGGAGGAGGAAGCACAGATACCCTTTCAAGTGCTAATTCACCTGGTGGAAGTCCAAAATCTCCTTCCTTCTCACCTGCAATATTTGCTGGTACAGTTGTTGTTTTGGTTTTCCATGTATTGCGTTTTTAGTTGTTGAAGATCGCCACACCGCGAGGACGTACAGCAGAAAGTTGGTACAAGTTGAAATCCTTCCTCAAAATATGTAGGAAACAAATCCAATTCTTTCAAGGTGGGAACGTTGTTATTCCTATTGGGTTCTTCTTCAACAGGTAGTGGGAAGCTTCAACGAGAACTTGTTGGGTCAAAGTGAATCCGGAGTTAATGTTTTTCCATATAATGGACTGAGTCTACTGCATTAATGGGTACCAAGTTAAAGGGGGTGATGAAGAAGTTTCAGGCAGTGATTTCAATTCTCACAGTGGTTTGTTCGCATATGCATTTGGTCACTCTTTTGGGTTCTTCATAATCATCATCAATGGCATGAAAGGAGAGCTTTTTGCTTTTTGGTGTATCAGTGTTGTGTCAAGAGTGTAAAGGTTGACATACAGGTTGTTCTTGTAAATTGAAATATGAGGTTTGTTATTTTTTTAACCTAATAACTCTTTTGCATTTTGGTTTTTTCTTTTTTGTAAAATTATATTCTTAATTAATTTGTAACGCTGAAGTAAATTTAAATAAGATTTTAATCACATATTCATTTTCTTATTTTAGAATCTTATTTTATTGAATGTATCTGCTTAAATTTGAGTATTTCAACCCAATGGAAAGCTGGGTAGGGAATTTCTTTTGCAATGTTCTGCTTAAATTTGAATATTGCTTTTGAATAATCATCAACAATTTCTTAATTACACCCACTTGGAAGTTGGAACTTTTATTATCTGTTGTGTTAAATCAAAACTAGAGAAAATCACAAAAGCAAAAAAAGCAAAAATATCACAGAAAGTAAACAAGATTTATGTGGGCCTACATCCACAATCGATTCCAATATGAAGTTTCACTATATTTTCCACTAGAATTATCACCCTAGCCCTTTTCTACTATCTGCCGATTAACAGAGGTTTTCCTCTCAAATTCAAATTGGGTCTTAATAGATTTACCTCAACACCTAAAAATATCCCCATCTACATAATAAATGGATCGACGATTTAGTCTCTTTCTCTCTATATATATTCATTTCATCTATAACTTTCATATTGTTATAATTATTTTGCTTTCTTTGGTTATGAGTGCATTTATAGAATTTTTGTATTTTTCTGCACCATTATTATAGACCATTTAATTTATGTCCGGATGCCCTGTTTTGTTTTGCTTGAAAAATGTCATTTTCATTTTCTATATAATGATTTCAGTTCCAGATCAACTATTGCAATTGGTTGGCAACCATTATTTAATTCATTTTCTATAATGGCTTCATTCTTGTGTTTTTGGATCTTTCGTATTGCATATGGTTGAGTTGGCATTACACAACTTTTTTTTTTCTTGTTTGTCTGCTACCAAATTCTGGGCAATACCCTTCCTTGCGGTTACAGGAAGAGTGACCAGAGAAAGTCGATGATCATGCAAGTATAAAATTAGCATATG